GTCTGTTGTTCAGTTGTCTGTCAAACGTGACGCTGATGACAGCAGTGACATGAAACTAAAACAGTTCAATTGCATGCTGGAAAAGCAAAACAATGAGCTTAAGATGCTAAAAAGCTCTGTTGAGATGAGGGGAGCTGCAGAATTAGTTAATACTTTTCTGTGAGTTCATCACTACCAGTGACAGTCATGTGATCCATTGTTAATAAAATTCAAGTTCAAAGCTTAAGTTCAAAATAAATACACAACATAACAGATATACAGTATTAGTATTAATTAATAAAACAACACTGATGAACTGTAGTGGAAGATCATCAATAACATTGTTAGGTTAACACTAGAAACACCACTGTACATCACATATGTAAGAACAGGGAGGGAAATACAGACAAAATTTGCCTGTTTGCTTGCTTGTGTGTGTGTGTGTGTGTGTGTGTGTGTGTGTGTGTGTGTGTGTGTGTTCTGGGCCATGCATGCATGATAAAGTAACAGAGCAGGGGACAGAGGCTCCTGAGATGCAGCGGAGACGTGAGTGATTGGAGCAATGAATAGGGGGGGACCTTGCATTGTAATTAGAAGTGCTCCCCAGTGGGCTTTACCATTTTAGTGTGATTACACATGTGATTTATATGCTCAGAATGCCTCCATCACTCTTGCTAAGCAAACTTGCCAAATGTTGCAAAGCTCTTCCTTATTCAGATGTTTTTTCTTCTTGTGGATTTACTGATCATGAAGTGATTTTGACTAATGTTGAGCTGAGAAACTCACCATGTTATAAGCTATTTTTGTTTAGTTTCTGTCTAAATGAAAGTTACTGTAACTATCAACTGAAGTTTCCACTTTCCTTGCATCACTGTTATTTTTTTCCATTTTATTTCCATCATTGTTTATGTATGCATTTTGCTGTTTTTCAACCAACCATTCTCCCCTATACCCTTGTATTTTCCCTTTTTTCCTACAAGGTGGCATGTTTTTAAACAGTAGGCCCTGGGGTTTCTTAGTCCTTATTTCTTCCGCCATCTGTTTTAATCATTTCTATCTTCAAAAAGAAAAAAAACAAACCTCATATAGATAAACAACCACATTTTCAAAAAGAATATCAAGCAGGAACTGGGAACAAAGTTAGCGAGTGTAATACATTCACAGAGACATGCTCTGTAAAATCCACACTTAATTCATTATTTCGTTCCTCTGTGCATTTATGCACCTATGCATTCATGTATTTATCCAGCAGTTTGACGTGCGTTGCATAAGACTATACTATTATCCTTTGTTTTGTTTTTTTCTTCTTTTAAATGTCTCTCATATAAAACTCTTAGTTCTTGCACTATATTCAAAACATTGATTGCCTGGTATCAAAAGCTTCAAACCACTGTACAAATAAATAATCTCGCACTTTCAATAGGCCTATAGCTGCCCCAAATCGTATAGACAAGATGGAAATGGTGTGAGTTCATGCATTGTTTTTTGAAAATCTGTCTGAATAAAAAAAGTCAATGACTTGGATTGCAATGGGAAATTGGCCAATCAATGATGATAAACAAGTGCTGAGCAGTTTTTTCCCCCTATTTTCCCAGGAAATGTCTCCTCTTTAAAGGCCTCTCGTCTTCATTGCTATGCTTTATATGGTCAGAATGACAGGATACGAAAAAACAAGAGAAGGCTGATGGTGGGAGGCAAAGACAACAGCGAGCTGCATCTCAGAAGAGAACTCACTTAAAGCTGACACCGTTTCCAAAAATACTTAGAATCACTGCTTTTGGATGTTAAGCTATACAAAAGTTGACTGATACCTAATAATTTAAATTCCTCCGGTAGTGAAAGAGAAAAAGTCAAAATATCAAGGAAGGTCAAGCTTGATGTTTTTACTGTTCTTATGTTGCTGTAAAATGTTAATGTTGGTGCAAATATGTCGCTTATAAGACAATCGGAGGTGCTCTGCATCAGCTGACTTAGTGAATCTGAGAACAATGACTGTCTTGAATTCACACAGATACTCCTGTTGTTACAATCATACAGATAAGGGAGAAAAACATTGGAAAGCTCCTTTGAGGGTGTATCCCAATGACTCCCTCTTGGTGGCGAAAAGTCCAAAAGTCCCAAGTTAAAACCCTTAAGTTATAGAATCCAAAAGAGAAATACTCCTACATGTCTACTGAAAACAAATCTTCTAAAGTCCCAACACAAGAACATATTTAAATCTACCGAGTAGAATTCCTTAGTGTGTCACTCTTTTTTTTCTCATTGACTGCCTCACTGTCTTTGCATCTATTTCTCTCTTATGCACCATATCTCAAGAGACAACATAAAAGTGGCTTTTTGGAATTAAAACGCTATTGCAGCAACCTCCCCATCCTTCTTGTGTGTGTGTATGTGTGTGTGTGTGTGTGTGCGTGTGTGTGTGTGTATGTGTGCAGACAGTCAGAGACAGTCAGAGATGCTCTCCTCCTGTAATGATCAGTGACTCTGGTGACTATTGATGTGCTGTGGCTCTGTGAGATCACTGAGGGCTCAGACTGCAAAATGTGAGGGAAAATGAATGGCGGGCTTCCAGAAAGAAATATTATTAATTCAATAGTTGCTTTTAATTATCTCTATTCAAATTAAATTTATAGAACGGAGACACAAAATATCATAATACACCATAAAATGCTAGACTATCTTATATGACAACATAAGGCATATTATTTTCTGTATGTATACGCACAGTGTATACAAACATATGATTTTCAAAGAGGCTGACTTACCAATTAGGATGGATGGATGTTAACAGACGCAAATAAAAGAGACAAACATGCTGGAACAGGGGTTGCAAGGGAAGGTATGGGGGTTAAAGCTGTGGAATGAAAGTGAAATTTGCAGTGTATCGCATTTGAGGCAGAAAGGTGCGATGTTTGGGCTGAGGGGAGTAAAGCAAGATTTATATTCAGAGGAGGACAAATCTTGGCAGGCATGGGGTACCTGTGTTAAGAGGCTTGAGGAGAGGCGGGGATTGTATTGATGAGGAAGTCCAGGAAAGATGCGTGTGGGTGCAGGATTGTGCTCCTGTGGGGATGCTCTGTCTATGGCAGCGATATGGGGCTCAGACAGCGGATTAGTGTTTCTGCTCCATAATCAATTTGCTGTCTGGATCCCATTGCACATAACCCTAAACATCCACTCCTCACTTGATCCTCGCTTCCTCCTTCTGCTCCCTTTTTCTCCCTCCACCAATTTCACTTAATTTCTCTTTCTTCCTATTCACCCCTTTGTTTGCTTCACCTTCAAACCCTAATTTGTCCCTATCACTCAACCAATATAATAAACTCAGCATAAAGCCGTCCACAATATACCTCCCTTGTTTCCTTTTTTTCTACTAACCTCTCCAAACCTTCTTTTCTCCTCGTATTTCCCTCCAAAATGTGTGTAATTTTCCATGAGCCACAGCAGACTCTGCACCCACTGCATGTTAGAGCAATGTGAGGGACGTCTGAGTAATTATATCAGGGAGCATGAGTGTGCGTGTGTGTGAGAGAGAGTGTACAGACATGTAGAGGTTAACCTTGGCCAAGGACAAACTATTAGCTCCATTTCACCCTTGGGTCCAAGCTTGCTGCCATCTGCTCCGGAGCTTAGGGGTCAAAATACTGGTTGACCAATCAATAATACATTACATGTTGGCACTGAGAGCCGGCCCTGGTTATGACTTTCTTTGCTTATTAAAAGTAAGGCACTCCGGAATGGAAATACAGTACATTTCCCAGAAGCGAGCAATGTCACAATATAAATAGTACTAGGTGAAATCAAAAATTAAATTCCTGTTTGCAGAAAACAAGCACATTGTCCATCAAAAGTGAGGCTTTTTATATTCAGCCTTCATTTTAAATAAAGTCTCAGAGAAAATAAGGTTCTTTTCTCTAAGGATAGATGTGCTGACATTTGCTGAAGGTGTCTGAGTCTGTGTGTGTGTGTGTGTGTGTGTGTGTGTGTGTGTGTGTGTGTGTGTGTGTATATATGTGTGTGTGTGGGTGTGTGTGTGTGTGTGTGTGTGTGTGTGTGTATATATGTGTGTGTGTGTGTGTGTGTGTGTGTGTGTGTGTGTGTGCGTGTGTGTGTGTGTGTGCGACTGTATCTGAGGAGGGGAGGAGTACTTTGAGATGAAAGCCCAGAGAGACAGCTAAGGGGAGATGCAGAGACAGCAGGTGGTGCTAGGCGCGCTCCTGTTGCGGCTGAAGGAGGCAGAAAGGTTTTTTTTTGTGTCAACAGATCAATAATTGTGAGACTGGGAGATGACTATCCATTTCAGATTGTCTGACACAGATAAAGGTGAAAGATGTAGTCTAGACAAAAAAATGACACAAACAAACTGTAATAGCCGCTGAAAAATAATATGGCTGCATCTGTCCGGTCCGGTTTGTCACTCTCTGTTACACACGCCGGCAGGCTTTGGGATAGCAGAAATGTAAATACTATGCTGTATCAGAGGGCAAGACTTGACCCCACTAATGACACAACAGCTTGTCTTAACACGAGTGCATGCATATACAGTAAGTACGCATATAAAAATACACACACACACACACACGCGCGCACGCACACACACAGCTCCAGTCTGTCAGCCACTGTCCACAGCCCTCTTATTGGACCAGGCAGACTGTCACCTCTTCTGATTCCAGCAGGCACACACAGATGAGAGCTACTAATTGCCTTGCTGGGGCACCGACGTGACTCGCATGTGACCAGATTGGCTTACAGGCATGGGAGGGCTGATGTGCATAGGTGACTCTGGAGCTTGTAAGTTGTTTGAGGGTAAAGGGGGGGAAGAATAAGAAAGAAAAAAAGACTTGGAAAATATGTGTGTGTGTGTGTGTGTGTGTGTGTGTTATTATGCAAGATGAATACTTGTCAGCCTCATGGTGGTTGATGGCACAAGGACCTGAGCAAGGAGGCTTTGAAGGGTCCTTAGTCGCTGCTAAACTATCCTGCTATAAAAAGGTGAACATGAATCACACTGGCAGTCTTACCTTGGCCTGGCCTCAATGTCGTGCTGAAAACGATGAGAAAAGAGACAGAGAGAGAGAAAGAGAGAGGGAGACAATAAAACATTTTAAATCTTAGCACAGGTGTTGTGGATAACAAATAAAAGGCAAACAACATAATTTACATCAACTTGGTCCACAGCTGGTGTGGCTCTAAATCTGACCAATTAATTTTCACTTTCATCCACCAGTTGTGCTCATGTTTATTCATGAGCTCTAAAAGAAGCAGTCTGGAACAAAGCAGCAAATGAGCTGCAAACATGACTCACGTGCCGGCTTTACTGTTTCGTTCTGAGTGGGATGAAAAAGATTTTTCAATGTCAAAATGATGGACGTGAGTTGTTCACTGCCAGTATGTGGCGCTTTGACAAACAGTGAAAGCTACAGGTTTATTAATGTGCCAAAATGCTATTTTTTATTTATTTATTAATTTAAAAAAAAAAAAATCATATTTCAAATTCTGTCAGTTCCTGGATGATGTAATTACATCATTTCACAAGGCTTACCCATGACATTTAAATTATAGCTCTGAATTTACTCATAGACCTGTATACTCTGTATTTCGCATACCAAACACACAGCTCCATTATGTATCACGATTAAAAGCGCTGTTACATACTAATGTGACACTACTTCATAAACCATTCCTAATCTTAGTTGGTCTATTTTCAGTCAAGAGGGCCTTCAGCCTGTTTTGTTACCTTTAATGTTCTGCCTTGGACAGACTGTACTGTTGTACCGGACCTTAACCATCAGTGCTAAGATGGCTGAGACAGAAAGGAATTTTGATGCTGTGCTGTGCCAGCAGATGAGAGGAGAGCTGATGAGTGGAAGCTGTGGAGCGCTGACTGGCTGTCTGCTTCACTGACTAAGATTTGGCTCTAAATTTAATTAGCTTCAGATCTGGACAAATACATGGTCTCAAATATTGGAACTCAGTGAGATTTTTCTTGGTTTACCTTGTCAAACACTTCAGTAGACTCAAATGTAAATTTGTGAAATCAGGGTGCAAAACTGACAATCACCAAAGAAGCTCTTGAGTGGCTGCTGAAAGACTCCCTCTACACAAAGCACACGTTGGCAAACTTCCTTCTCTTCCTCTGTTGCCTGGTAGGTCAACTGATATATCACTAGTTACAACACTGAACAATAAAAGGGTGTTATATTTATATGACAAAACAATAATGTTGCTGGGTAAAAACATTGTTCGCAGGTGAACCAGTAAGTGTACGGTAAAAGAATATCATTCATCAAGTCTTTCAAAATATTATAGTGAGTAAGCGCTACACTTTAGGGAAATATGTGCGTATTTAAGTCTAGCATTGGGGTTATATATCTTTTTATTAATATCAGTGATTCCTCTGAATCAATTACCCTATCCTGTCATTCGTAATATCAGCTTAGTCATTCCTGGTGATCAGATAGGGCTAGCATAATATACAGTGTCAGTGTCCAGTGTCAACTTAGCAGCATAACACATCAGTCAAATTTAATTTTGTTGACGCTTCTGTATAAGTAAGTGTTGAATGAGTTATGTATTCTCTATTTCTTTGATATTTGTTTGGTTGCATTATATTACAGCAATGTAAATGTTATTCTGTTAGTTGTGTGCTTTGTTTTCATTTGGTCTAATTAAAGAGTTTTGTGGAGCCACTGCCCAAAAAACTGAAAGAAATATGCTGTGAAAAAGCAGCTGACGGCTATAGAGCTTTGTAATTACCAGTTTGCAACAGTGTAGAGAAAAAGCAGACCTTGAGGGGCGAATAAAACCAGATTCAACATTTCCCATCTTATTCACATGGCTTAGAGCAGTTCAATCAATACCTGAACACACATAAAAACTGGTCTCTCAAAGCTAGAAAGCTAGCTAGGCTTGTGTGTCTGTCAACAGCAGTTGCAACCTAAAACTGTTCCATTCATAAATAAAAAAAAAAAAAATCAACTTCATATGATGATGTGCTCCTGAACTGTTTGAATGAGAACAATTTTTCAAAACAGTGCTGTTAACTCAACAGCTCAACAGAAGAGTGCCATTTACAATTAAATTAAGGTCAACTAGTATTTGTAATATGCTCATCTTAATCTGTTTTCAGTCAACACCGCAAAATTTGAACCTAGTTTTTTGGTTGTAAATAGTTGATAGGGACAATCTGAAAATCTTTGCATCCGTTCCATTGTTGAAAAGGAACGGTATACCCGGCAACCTTTAAACAGCTGCTGCAACACAATCAAACAGGGTGTTTGTCCGCATCACACTACATCCACTAAAAGTCCTTGTTTTTGCCATTGACAGCTATGTTATAAGTGTCTGACAACATTGTGAGAACAGATACTTCAGTACCAAGCTGAAGCCAAATTTCAGAAAATTCTGCTGGTACTTGTTTTTCTACAGCACTGTAGTTACCTAAGGTACCATAAGGTAGTGGAGATACAGTATGAGTCTTCAGGCAGTATAATAACCATACACTTGTAGGCAACAACAGCCTTTGGGTTGTAATGGGTGTTTCTGGATAGACAAAGAACTTACTCTTTAACAAGACGGTCTACCCTGTAGAAATCCAATCCATGATGTTTTCAGACACTTATAATAACAATCTGAACCTGTCAATGGCAAAAACCAGCATTTTTAATGGATGCACTTTAAAGCAGACAAATGCTCCATTTCATTACGTTTCGCGGTTGCTGGGTACACAAAGAGTTATCCTTTCAGTGCATGGGGGTTTGCAATTAGCTCATATGATGAATTATTGATAAATTATCACTTTTTATTGTTTTCAAATGGATTAAAATGAAACTATTCCCCAACATGCATTTATATTAAAAATGAATACTGAAATAAACTGCATGGAAAAAGGCCATCTCAGAGCAGTTCATTGTGACCTGGGTCATGAGTCAGGGTTGGGTCACTGATGCAGACTTGCAATGCCTGACTAATGAGGCATCTTGGCTTTGTTTTCATGCCTTTATAGCTTAAACAGTGTTGAGCCTCTGCCTCCACGTTTCTAAACATAATCACAGACTGAAGGAACCTTACAGAACCTCTTCAGCCATATGTGGGAAAATATGGTCCAATACAATTGCACAGTAAAGTAGGTGATGAAGACACAAGTGGGATGGTATTTACAAAGGGCACAAGTTCACCAGTGCTGGCTTGCAGGATCACATTTTGATTCGATCTATTTTTCTATAATCAAGGAAGTTTAATGGTCTATGTTATCTACTGTAGCATATGTTATATATCAATATATTATAATTATAAAATTCTACCTACAGTATCCATCTATAACTTTTTATTCTGCACATACCTATTTCCTTCTTGTCTTTTTAATATTCATGTTTAGTATGTGTGTCTCTGTATAAATGTCCTGGATGGTGCAAATCTGTCTGCGCTTGTACCTGTCTACTTCCTGCAAAGTCAAAATCAGTGTTTCTAATTACTATATAGTCATCAGTGAATGTTCAAGTAAACAGACTAAGTGGTTCTACAAATTAGTACCGACTCGCCCTTTTATTTTTTAATGAAAAATGTGGAGACAGAGTTTTGATAATAATTGGACAAAGTTTGTTAATAAATTGTCCCTTCTGGCTCCTGCTGATTGGTGAATTTCCAGAATGTCTTTCACCCCTGATGATCCTCTTCATTGTGTTTGCTTATGTGTGTCTACACCTGTGTGTTCCTGTTCCGAAATTAAAAGAAAGATGAGAGAATATTAACAAAGCCAGTGGTAGTGTTTGTTTGACCTTTATCAATTATGCAGTTTATTCTTTGGGAGGAGTTTGAAGGAAGGATTTTATGCAGGTGATAAATATTATACATTGTAGCTGCTCCATTCCACAGGCCCTCTGTTACATGGCTGCAGTGCAATAGATTGATGTGCTTACAAAGCAGCAATCGCTTTTCTGACTTGGCTCTGAAGCTGCTAGTCTTTCTTTTTTTGGAAAAAGTTGGAATAAAGGCACTACTTCCAAAAAGTGCTGGAGGCTATAACTGTTGCTCTCTAGCAAACAGGATTAGATTGTGCTTTACAGGAGGAGAGTAAACAGAACCCACAACAGCAAACAGGGTCAACACATTCAAATATGTATTTCCATTTGAACAAAGCTGAAGGTATTGGTTTTGTTTCTAGTGTCTTCTATCATGGCTTCGTTCATGGATTACAAATCTCTCACACTAGTTCACTACAGTACAGAGAATGTCTGTGGACCTTCCACCACTGCAGCCTTTGCTGGAAGCGGCTTGTGGTGCTGAAACAACAGATGAACTGATTAATAGATCAACACAAAAATTAAATCTTTTCAAATATGAGTAGTGCTTAACAACTTCATACGTTGTACATTGAATTTAAATAATTCTTTTACTGTTGGCAAGACAAATATCATCTCATTTCAGTTTGAGATTTGTTGATTTTGTTATGTTAAACATTTACTGTAACTAATTGATCAAAACAATTATTGACAGATTAATCAAAAAAGGATTGTTTCAGACCGAGTATCATAGACATCAGTTCAGCAAAAGTGCAGTAAAAGAGGCAAGTGAAGGACTGTAGCTCAATGTGCCATTTGTAGGCACAGCCACTATGAGGCAGACAGTGACAAAGTGAGTGAACAAGTTGGAGAACTAATGTCTGGGTCAGTTATTCTATTCATCTACAATGCTGTTCAACAATAATGACAGCAGGTGTTGGCGAGTTAAGGTGCACTTGATGCAGCTTGTCCTCTTAATAACTGTATCGGTAACCCCTGTATTTATTCACTTCAGATCTCCCGATTTCACACATTCTCAGACTACACATAAACTTCTGCCCAACTCCCTCTGAACTGTGTGTATCCACATAATCACAGTAAGACACACTTGCTGAATAAGTGTATTGCTGCATAAGCACCCTCTCTACACCGACACACACTTCTCCTGTGAACATACATCTCCAAACAGCACAACCCATTACTATATTACTTAATATAGTAATATAGTATATTACGTAATCCAGCAATAACTAACACATGACAACAAATGGGGTAACCACTGGCATTCAATTAGGGCCTTAATGAACCTGGCTCGCCATGGATTCATTTCTCAGCTAGAAAAGCAATCTGCTACCACCATTACTGCAGCCTTCCTTGCACCGCACAGCATCGCACTCAAGAACACTCAAGCCTCCTTTCTTGACTGTGGTGACTAAAGAATGGCAAGTGGCAAATACACCAGTGGGATGTTTTAATCTGGGGGCTAAAAAAAGCCTCCTCTTCAGTGTTCAAATGAGAAATGAGGGAGAGAAATGCTGCAGAATCTGAAATAATGTAAGTGCACCGAGACGGCCCGCACTTCTGCACTTCGTGTTTGTACATGCAAATGTATAAATGTATAAACTGTGGCCGCACACATGTTCCGGGGTGAACAGTACTTTGGCATGAGAACCTAACTGTGACTGACGGGCTGGTTTATAATAAGAAAAGGAACAGAGCACCCAGCTGCTGTGTTCATACCTGGAAAATACTGTGGCCAGAGGAGAAACATAGTTGCTTCATCAGCACAACAGCTCAGGATTTATTTGGAGCTAACTACCTGTAACACACTGACACAGGTGACTGTATGAATGGAAAACTGCATTTCTATACATAAAAATAATGCATGCCTGGATAAATACAGGCAGTCTCTCCCCCTTTAACTAGAACAAAGCTAGCTATGGTGGCACCTGTTTACCATATTTATTTTGCTATAATGACTGTGCAGCAGGTGCCACAGTCATTAGGAAGATAATTGTTTAAGTGGAAGGCCGGGGATCAAGCCTCCATGGCACCAAGCCCTTTCAAGCAATATCTTCTCTCTAGGCCACGTCACAGCCACATGAAGACAAATTGAGATGCCACTGCTGCCTATCCAATGCAGTAAATTATCAATAATAACTATTTACACCATGCACCATATAGTCGGCAACACAGGATCAGCAACACAACGGCTTTGTGTCTGGCCGGACAATTGTTTCTAATTGTTTATTGACAAGAGCAATAGCGCATGTTTTTAAACGGCTGCCCTTAGTAACAACGTTGGCACCGATCTACTGTGTTCAAAGTTTGGATTAATTAATTATTGACCCTGCTTGCTTGCTTGCTTGTGTTCACAGTACTCAGCAGACCTCGTGACGCAACATGACACTGTCGTTCAGGGTGTCAGCTTTGCTCAGAAATGGGCCTCTGGATCAAATGCATTGGTTTTTCATACATTTTGGCAACCGCTTTCAATTCTGGTTCACAACAACCTAAGTTTGAACTAACTACTCAAGTGGATCGAGTAGAATTTGTCAGACAAATTGACATAGGTAGATTTTTGATAGCCTACCTTAAACATACATTGTAACCAGGGCAGGAATCCCATTAATTTCTTCCACATAGAAATTACCACAGATTCAGAGGGCCATATTTGAGCAAGGCCAACACCTTCAACTGCATCAGATTGTGAAGTTTACTGAATTAGACTGTATGTTATGTAAAGCAAAAAAGCATAAGAATATGAAGAAGGAATGGTGGTTCTAAGTATCACACTAGATAAATTATGGCATGCTAAATGTCAGTCACACTGGGCTTCTGTGACATCAACTTGCTAACCTTTATACCTGCACTTCACTGTGCAGTGAGTGAGACTCCAAATGCTGATTGTATATAGGCTGTTTAAGAAGCAGAATAAGGAATGAAGAAAGGATAGAAGGAAGGCTCTTCTCACCATCATTCTGTGGGCTGGTGCAGGCCCTGCTACGAGGACCTCTGCTACCGCCGCAGGACCTATTGCCTGTGCCTCGGCTTGTTCCAGCAGGCATAGCTGGTGTGTGATGTTAGCCATCTCCTCCTGCAGCCGCTCTGTTTGGACAGTGATCTCTGCGATCTTCTCTGCAGCAGACGCCGTCAAGAACGCCTCTTTGAGGTCTACCAGGTGAAGGGTCCTCTTCTCCTCCAGACGCACCAGTTTGCGGAGCTCGTCGAACTGGCTGTTCACATAGGCCTCTAGCTCCTCTGTGGACATCTGCGATACGTAGAGGAGACAGAAAGGGGAGAGTAAAGGAATTAAAAGGTGAATTTATGTAGAGAAAAGAAAGGAGATACTGGACTGCCATTTAAAATTAATCTGGATGAATTTTAAACTAGGTTGGAATTATTGAGATTTACTAATAAAACAGAGGAACATAAATAGACATCAAACTCAAAAACATCTAAAGCTAAAATAGAGGTGAGATTTAAAGTTGCATTGAGCATTAAAGTTGTAAGGGTATGAACTGAACATCCAGCAATGAAATATAGATACACATATGGAATCACCGCGGTATAGAGGACAAACAGAAAATTCTATCTTTTACTTTGACATGGGAATATTATTTCAAGAAACCCACTGGCCTCTGTCATGCAATAGCTAATTGATAGCTTGAAGCAGATCCCCTAAATGCAAACTCCATGCATCCCATCTGTAGATAGAGACCTCAGAGGCTCCTTCTACCACAGCAAGCCATCTGTTTGGCTTTCAAGGCAAGTGAACTGCTCACTGAGATACCCTTTTAATTCCTCTCCCTGTTCCCCGATGAGGCTCTCTTTAGCTATGACTCATTACGTTAAAACACCTCAATAAACAGACGCCTCCCTACAATCCTTCCCACTGAGATGGCTCCACCTCCAGCGCAGACTCTGTCGTGAGGTAAAACACCCCAAAGTCCCATGTCATGATCTCTGCTCCTGAATATGTTATAATCACTTCAATCTACGAACATCAGCTGCTCGCTCTCTCCTCCTCCCTTGGGCAGAATTTCACTTTCTTCCTTTCCATCTATTTTATCTTGTTTCCCCTCAGCCTCCCTCTCTCTACTGAAGCAAGGAATCATCAGTCTTCACTGAGGTTGGCAGAACTGAGGCCCCTAGGGGCCCAAAGTTTTATCGTGTATTTGCCATTTCTGCACAAGCAATCAGATTCTCCAAATTGCCCATTAAACCAAGCGCGAGAAGTAACATTTTTAATTTACTTTCTTTGTATGAGCAGAGAAAAACATGCGCATTGTTCATTCTGAATCAGACAGAGAGAGTTAGTGAACATCCAACTGGAAAGCAAAGAGTCATTTTCTCTTTTTGCCTCACCAAAATCAATGCCCTGAATACATGTATGATAGAGGAGGAACAACAACAACAGGGTTCGATTAGCAACAGGTTCCATTTCTTGTTCAGATACACAATTTAAATCTATCTGTGAAGGAAAACCGAGGACACTTTTCAAATCTATCTATCTAGGCCTCTGGAATGAAATTCTTATACTTTAATATACAGAGCAATAGACGGAAGTGCTTTAGATATAATAAATCCATACTAAATTACACTACAGGCTGATTAAATCTTCTAGAAGACTCATCATTTTAAACGTGAGCAGTGAGCACTTAAAAAACACATTAAGATATGACAAGGCATTTACTACTTCATTTTGTGCTGGGACTAGAATTTAATGCTGAAGCTGTTGCTCATGTTTTGACAGGGGTACAAATTCATCAGGGGTGAAAAAGGTGACAAAGACGCAAGAGATGTGGTTTTTGCTCTTTCCAGCAATTGCAACTGCTGTTTGGTAAATTAAAAGTCAGGGCTTAGATATGACATTTATAAATTGACTTCACAATCACTACAACAAAAAGAAAAACAAGGTAATTTCAATTCAGCTTCTGTCGTTTTCAGAGAAAAACTACATGAATCACAACAAGTTTACTTCCCAGTTTTGATGTCTCTAATGTCTCGCTCTAAGCTGACTCTGACTGAGGTGTCCTGGATGCCATGAAATGTCAACAATTTCAATATTCAACTCCAACTCTCCTACAGATATAAATAATCCTTTCCAATATTCATTTCTAAAACCTTTGACATCTGCTAGACCTTTGACAATTATTATCAGTTAGCCAAATGGACTATAGCTATCTGTATTTTCAATATCTATGAAATCAATGACAGCTTACAGTATCAGTAACCACTTCATTAGTTAATTCCATGTCAGACATAGCTTTAGCATTCAGCTATCATCAGGAATAGGAAAAGTTAAATTTTAACCACAATATTTATTTTAAATGACTAGTCTATCAATAACTTAAAGTGAGACCATGTAACATTTGAACTAAGAAAAGATGCAATCTCCTTTTGCAAATAAAAAGTTCAATTTATGACCAGTAGCCTACAGTTACATGAGAAAGTTTGCTAAGGTTAGCAAAAGTCACATATATACAAACATTATTTCTGCACAATAAACAATGTGAATATTTTTATCTGTTCAGTAAAGGCTAAACAGTCCAATGCAAAATATGTGGTACAACATTGGTGACAACTAATGAATATCTATTTGTGGTAACAACAAAGTTTAAGGGAATGGAATGTTTGCATAAATCACAGGGAACAATGCTACCCGAAAGCAAAGCTATGACATGAATAGGGCAGCCAGAAGCATGACATAAAACTTATCATCTTTAGTATCTTATCTGTCATTAATCTGACACATTCCATCATCACAACTCCCAATCTCCAGGACCCCCTGCCCTCTCATCCAGTCCCTGTGGCCTCAGTGGCAGATGGGAGCCGTGATCCTGGATCAGTGCTCTTTGTGTTTGTTGAGCAGGAGCCCTCTGCCCTTGGACCTTTCACTCAGTGACAGAGTTTCTCTGAGAATTTGTCCTGCTAGCAAGGAAGGCGCATTCATGCGTGCTAATCTTCATTTGCATTGCTGCAAGCTGAGGCCACGAAATGAGGCCTCGGGAGAGACAACGGCACACTGCTTACAAGGGCAGAGTTGGAGTAAGGACGAGGGATGAGAGAGAGAGCGCACGCAGAGGTAGGACATCAGGCCAGCAGATTAAGAAAGCTCATTTCTTTTTCAAGCAAAGGGAGGACGTTAGGAAAGCAGATTAAAAAAGCCTAATTATTTTTCAGTCATGTTCCTGACATACTTTGTATTATTACTATAGAACCTCTTATCTGACACATTAAGGGATATGCCAAACCAATATGGTTATTTTAATGAAAACATGGCAACATAAACCTTTGTTTCATGTCTTTATGCTACATTATATTGGAGATATGAGAGGTGGGCTGAAAGCTAAAAATTCAGAGGAAAAAAACACTCCATGTGACTGAAAATGTTTCCTCAGAAAGCTGAATCTGTGGCTTACTGAAAATAGAAAAACTTCAATACATTCCTCTATCATGCCACGATTGCAAGATAGCAAGACACTCAAATTGAATTACCTTCACACACTTGTGTACTCTCTAACTAGCTACAAGAAAAGGTTGTGCTACTCATGAGTGCTGATGAAACAAGACTAGGTCAAAATCTAGTACATGGCTGTGTCTGGTCAATGTGTGAAACCGAGGACGTAGTTGAAAACTGTTGTGGAACCGCTGTAAACAAATTACATCAACACATCCTATTTGCATTATGCATGTGCATTCTGCTTAGTGTCAGCCTGTTTCAGCCCCGTTTGCTTCTCTCCTTCTCTCTGTGCTCACACTTACAGTATTTTAATACAACCGAATTCCCAATAAAGCTGTACTGTTTTGGGAGTTCTGTGTTTCTCTGATACTGTTATCAGAATGTAACAAGTTTGAAACAGTGAATGAAACGTGGCCAATTAAAACTACATATTAACTTCCAAACCATTTCCAAGCTGCTGCTCTGCTGCTGCTAAAATCTGGATTTTATAACCACACTGTCGCCTGACAAAAATCAACACATAAATTGAAGACAGACTGTGCTCTGATTTTGTTTATATTTACCTGCAAAATGATCACTCAGAGAGAAAGTTAGAAGTGACAGAATATCTTTCTTATTTTGTCTGTCACACAGCCTCCGTCTGGGATCCACAATAGTTTCAACATCATCATATTTCCTGAAAAAGTGATCAGGGCCTTTATTTAGATCAACAACAAAAGATAACAGATTTGATATACATATCAAACAGAGGCATTAGAGGCCTCTGTTTGATATGTATAATTGGTCAGATTGCTTTTTTAGTACAAAGTCTCGTTTGCATTTGCACCTGTTTGCCGTGTTAAAGTTACTGCATTACATGTTAATACTGGTTAATACAAATTCCACACTTCCTGTAACTGTTGAGTGTAAGTGGACAGAAACCCTTCATTTCTTAGCAGGCCTTTTACTGCTGTACTGACACGCTGCTTTCAGCATATTATATCAGTTCATGTTGCTGGTGTTTTTGTTGTTTACATGCTATTTCGATCTGCTGTTTTTTTTTTGTAGCTTAGCAGTTACCAGTGGCTTCTTCGCCTCCCTCCCACTCTCCTGCTCTCTCTCAGTGTGTCTTATGTTTACTTATTCCTCTGCCTCCTTTAGTAATAATGGTACATGAAATGAAAGTACTTTATTGCGGTCCAGCTGAAAAAGCTGCAGAAGCAAAGAACCAAAGCCCTTGGGAATGAATACAGATCTCTGTATTACTTTGGTGAGATCTTCACACTAAAATGTGAAACAAAAGTAAGCTAAAATGAGCTGACAATAAATATCAAAGTAGCCTCAGCTTTTAATCTTAACCTTTTCACTGACACAGACACGTGGGCCCATCATCACAAACGCTTTTTGTAGACAAAAGCATTTTACTTTCTAGTTAACTCTCAAAATTTTCATAAAATACCACGTTATTTGAAATTAAAAGAGAATATGATGCCCCATTTGATACAATGGTTCATTTAACTTAAATTTAACCATTTCTCTCACTTCGACCATCCTGTAGCTTCAACAAAACAATAAAAAACGCATAGATATTTTTAAATAAGGAGATACAGGAAAAATTGTTTTATGCCTCTGAAGAGTTCAAAAGCTTGACTTTCTTTGAACATTCTCACTACCAAATCAGAGTCAGCTCTGCCACTTGCCTCTTGTCTAATTTGTGTTATCCTTTTTTTATTTTTTAAAGGCCTAAAAACAATTAAAAGAACATTAGGAGTAAATGGATCTGAACTTGGAGTTGTCCTTGCCCTTGGCATTAGTGGCCCAGTTCCAAGTGAACACTACTCTTTCTCTCTCGTGCTCTCTTTTATCTCCCCCAGAAATTAGATTCTCCAATTTGGCCTCTAACACAAAACAGTAATACATAGAAAGTTAATTTGAAAAACACCAGGTCATATAAAGTAATATAAAAAGGGGACATAAGATAAGGTAAAAAAAAAAAAAAAAGAAGAAAAATGAGACAGAAGGCCTTTAGTTTTATAATAGCAGAGTTTCAATATCCAGCACCTTTTTATTGGTTTTGAGTGAAGCAATGTCAGCCAAGCAACTTTCTGGGGAATGATACCGAGTAATTCAATTAAAATGCTGCGAGCGGAGATACAAAGGGAATGACAGCCTTAAAGAGCAATGGGAGTGGGGGTATAAAAAGAATGGAAGGAAGGAGAGAGGGAGAAAGGGATAAAGGTAGGAGGAGGACAAGAAAAAAACAGGATGAATAAACCTAACAGCAGCGGCCAAGTCTTTTCATGCCTCTCCCGTTTGTTCCTCAGCCTCGGCTCCCTAAGACAGCTTTAATGTGTCTGCTGCTCTTGTAGATTTTATGAGGCAGGGAAAATGGATGTAGCCACTGCACACATGTACACAGTTGTGACTGGCCCGGTGTTGCTGTTCTGCTTCCAGATATCGGACTCCCTCTCTCTGTAGCTGCAGAGAGCAGCTCCACAGGCAGGGTGTGCCCTAGACGACACCCTGTGTGGCGGAAAGTGAGTAAATAAAACATGAGAGCGAGGTAAATATGCTGACTACCTGCTGTCCTGGTCTGAAGCTACAACATGCTTCATATATCCTTTCCAGGTCCCTGACGATAAGTAACACCAGCTGCCTGGCTGACAGACAGCTATCTAGGCCCCTCATGTTACGTTACGCCTCCGGTTATCCATTAATATGTATGCAGCTTCATTGCTGCTTTTTGCATTATATTCCATTCTCCTGTGGAGAATTGAGATATGAGCTTTGAGAGATTAAAATCCCCACACCTGCGGCGAAGTATATAATTAAACAGGCTGGATATAATAAGCAAACAGCAGCTAAGGGTTAAATCTTTTCATCCAACCCTCACCTCCTCACAGACAGCCGCTCACACCTCTGCCTCTCTGAAGTCCTTTAGGATGTCAGTACCATGCAATTTAACCTCATCCAACTCCAAATGTCTATCTCTTTCTCTCCTTGCCTCTCTCTACCTCTCGCTCTCACACACACACACACACACACACACACAACTTTCCTCACCAGGAGCAGTCACTCTGATGGTTGCCTGTCATGCATAATAAGAGACGCTGACATTTGAGAGTGCAGAGAGGACACGCCGACAAATCCACATAATGGTTTCTAACACAGTGCCCTGTGAGTGAGCAGGTAAGTGGTTTTCACCAAACACACTGCACCTCTACAGTGGAGTAGCACAAGACTAAATGTCCAGGAAGTCTTTGGGGTATTTCGGTATGATAATAGACATTATAGTCATTCAAATTAACCTTCCGCTTTATGCCAGTGTGCTTGGGTCACACCGGTGCAGGTACAGAGGAATGCTCCTGTGTGCCACTGCTCTACTACGGGTTCAAACATGGTTATAGAAACAGCACATAAGGCAGAAGAGGAGCTGCAGGGGTGGTTGAGAGAGTAGGTGCAGCCAATGTCAACTGTAAATAGCTGAGACCTTGCTGTACAGTCCCGATACCACTGCTCACTGTTACATCTCTTACAACACAATGCATGTCTGCGGTCAGGTTTTATTTTCAGTGTTTTCAGTGAACATGTCCCCACTATGGCATCTGTAATGGAAATACAGGCACCGTTTTCAAGCTTGACTTGTCCTGAAAATTTAGTTTGAGTTGCTTTTGTTTTGGCTGATGACTGTGGTGACTGTGTGTGAAATGGACTAGGCACCCTTCTTTTTCAGACGGCAACCTAGTGAAGGTTAGACGAAAAGGTTGAAATAAGGTTGAGATTATTACTTCAGCCTATGACGCTTGTTTCACATCTTCATTTCATACGACTGACTGAGACAATCTGACTGGCACAAAGAAATCGATGTCACTTCCCAATCCCTCATTAACTACCATCAGATGCTCCTGCACAACTGCCATCAGTATTTAACTGAGGTCGACCTCACTGGCATGAGTGTAGAGGAGTGGGTGTGGGTGGATTTCAGAAGAGAACAGACAAAAGTGGAATATTTATACACTATAATGCAGTCAAAAACAACAGTCCTGTAATAAATACTAACTTTGTGAATGTTAGTATTGATTTAACACCGTGGCAATTGAGAGTGTAATTGAGGCTGCATAATATTGAAAGGTGTTTTTAATGTTCTGTCCATCTAATTTATTTATGTGATGGAGTAGAAAATATTAGAAACCCTTTACAATTTAATGCAATGTATGATACACCATATCCACCTAGACTGAATACAAGGATTTCTTTTTCAACTTACTTAAATTCAACAAGGGTTTAAAAAACAGCTAGAGGGTATTCAGTATTCAGCATTTCTCTCTATTTAATACATGACAATGCATAAGACACAGTCACTTTCAAAACAGAACCTCTGCCTTAGCACAGAAGTGCTGAGTCAAGAAAGTGACATCAACTGAAGCCTGAAAATGACATGACTCAGTAATCACACAATGATGCCATCACTCCTACGCTTCAAACAGAATTATGTTTGCAGAAACCCAATAGGCAAGATCTGTGATCTGTGAATGGGGTGGCATGAAAAATATATGGATTGAAATAATTGGCTCTCGTGTTTACTACCCAGTGCCTTTATGACATAATCTCTTTCTAATCCCTCTTTATCTCATTCTAGAATGCTGTGTCTCCACCGCTGCAGTGTCTATACCGCTGCAGTGCTTACTGCTGTACCCACTGAATTAGAAATGAGTAATTGTTATTTTTTTTCCCTCTGCTATGGCTCCCCACGGTTTGAAACTAGGTTCAATCAAGGTTTGTTTTTAAAGCCTTACCAGGAACCTCCAAAAGCTAATAAGATGGGTCATTAAAGTAAGATAAAACAAATGGTGGATGAAGCTACTGCAGATTATTTTATACAAGTGTAGTGTGCCTACTGTTATCACCTGTTTGTATATTTTGGAAAACTTTTATGAGCTTGGAAAAAAACAATCACAATGGGCCAAGTCTACAGTGAAATGTGCTATTTGCAGCTAATACAACTACACTGTTTGTTTGCCACACTTGTTCAGCTTCTCAAATGCAAAGTGAACAGTTAACTTCTGGAGGCAGCACTGTGTTGGATCTTTCAAAAAAAAATCATCAGCAAATTTAATCAAACCACATGGCACAATCATAAAATGAAAAGCAATGCAATATGTACACGGTACGCTGTCATTCCTTGCAAGGAGGTCAAGTCTACCTTTTACTGCTGCAGAGAAGATCTCATTTCATTTGATAAGAGTTAGTGGGAGCTCATTACTAAATAAGAAAAGCTGAGTGGAACTCTTTTGGGAGTTACTATATAGCTCATGTAGGGATTTAACTCTCGGTTCTAAATGCAGGAGTTTGCTCTCACCTCAGGGTTGGTCCACTTGGTCTTGATCTTCTCAGCCATCTGTTGTGTACAGCCCAGCAGGTCGTAGCCCTGCCTGCTCTACAGGTGGAGCAGACAAACAAACAATAAACAGAGTGTTCCAATACATAAGGGCGTAAAGCACAGCACGTAAAGTGAGATTCTTTCTGTGTGAGTCATACAAAAGTAGAAACACTCAGAGGTAGCTAGTTATTAGCTGCTGATCATTCAGAAGAGCACCAAGTTAACTTATGCTTTACTCACGCTTGGCAAAAATATTTTTGGGATCATGCTATTAGAAGACACAAGAAAAGGTATGGTACATTCTTGACATGTCACAGGCTACAATTTTACATATAAAGTTTGACATGTTACATGCTTAATGCAATGTACCTTGACAGGAAATCATATCATTACTCACAGGGATAAAGGATTTCTTTCACATGGATACACTGGCACAGGAAACAGGATAAAAGCTAAAGTAGGTTTAGAGTAAATAATGTGGCCTTGGGCTGAGTGTGTCCGTGTGTGTGGGTGTGTGACCCCTTTTGTCTCTCGTCAATCCATATGTGGCCGTGATGCAAGCGTAAACCAGTGAAATATGCTGCTCTACTTTTGTTGTTCAGAAACACACACGTACAGTCAGAAAACAATGAGGGTTGTTACTACTGTGGCTAAATGCGCCGGCTTTGCTTGAGGATTTCCAAATGAGGCTCTTCCTGAGATTTTCTGATTGACTTTATTTTAGTGTTAACAAACAAAACCCCCTTGACTGTTCAAAACATTAATCCAAAACTAAGTCCTGGTTTCTGATACTATTACAGACCTGTTAATTGGCCCTCTGTGCAGTAACACAGTCCGAATGTGTTCAGTGAGCTGATAGCATCTGACTCTAAATGGTAATATAATCATCACAAATGCTATGCTCTGCAGAACTGAGCCCTCAGTGTTGATTCTCAAAATCCAGCACAACATTAACCCAGCTTACTGGACCAACTGCAATGCTGCACTGAACGACTGGTGACTCACTGGACCTATTACATACACCTGCAGCAAAAAGCCATCTAGGAAATGGAGGAAGAGTGAAGCCATAATTGGTGCTGAGCCAAGCGGACATTGAGGGGATATTCATAATGTTTAATTTCCATTTCACAGTTTTCATCGAAATTATTTATGTGGCTATATAATTGAAGCGATTTATTAATGATGGCATGTGGGTGATCATGAGACATTATTATGTTTAAAATCTCTTACAGAGCCTTGGTGAGTTGCCTTAAGAGTACAGGACCTACAGCTATTAGCATACTACTTAATACTGAATTAGAAATGCAAACCAGATAGATGACGCTCTGAATGCATTATGTTATACATTTCAGAGCTGTAGATGTTGTTGTGGACCATGCCAAAGTGATTAACTATGAGAGAGGGCATACAATAAATCACAGAGCATTAGTCTACCATACATAAACCTGTCATGTTCTGAGGGTGTGACTCACCTTCTGCCACACATAGGCCTCATGCAGAGTAATGATCTCATGATCCTTGTGCTCACCCTGCACAGCACACACCACGCAGATTATCTTCTCATCTGGTTTACAGTAGAGGGAGCCTTCCTGCTCATGCTCCTTGCAGCGCAGTCTCTCTACTGTTACAGTGTCCCTCTTCCCAGCCTCTCCAGCAGCCATGGCCTCCTGCCCTGCCTCTGCACCCCCAGCTCCGTTACCCAGCTCAGCTGCCAGCTGCAGACCATTCTGGGCTCCCTCTCTTTCCTTAGCATCACCATTCTCATCCCCATTAGCCACTGCCACTCCAAGCGGTGCCATCTCCTGATTTGCGCCCATTCCAGCTGCCCTCTCCGCATCAGCCTCATCCTCAGCTTCACTTCCAACTCTAGAGTCTCTGTTGGTGCCAGGTCCATTAGCCTGTGTTCCCTCATGGTTATAAGGCATTAGTGGATGATGTGTCCTGCTGGCGTGTCTTTCAGCGTGGACAGGGCAGAAGGCAAAGCTGCAGGCATGGCACACTTGTGTGGCTGGTTGGGCCTCATCAGGCTCGCACGCATCACATGACCCGTCCATCTGTGGCAGCTCCTCCTGTTTCACCCCTATGGCTCCTTCCTGTGATTCCCCTTTGTGGTCCATGGTGGCTGATAATAATTCTTGGGATCAGAGAAGTAAGTTATAGGAGACACACAGAGTAGGGGACAATATATTAATAGCTGTGACCTTCGGCGAACAGCTCTCATATTTGCACAGGGGAAAGTCCAAGATCCTCAGGACTAATCCCATCTGATATAATATTCCCACAACAGATGATGTATGGAGGGAGCCAAAGTCCACAGGAAACAACATCCAGTGGAACATTATCACACAAGCGAAACACAAAAAAAAGCATCATCCTGCAAGGGCAATAAACAGGAAGACCCCATCTGCAGTCACTGAACTGTCTTTGTGTGCAAACACACTCGCTGTGTTTACTGACTCACAAACAGAAAACGCTGAGTGTGCCTGTACCCTCAGCATGACCAAACACACACGCTCTCCTCCTCTCACCTCTCTCTGTATGTCGTCAGGCCCTGACCTTTTCATGTTTTGTTCTGTCTTTGTCTTTTCCCCTCTCACCCTCCTCTATTCAGTCCACTCTGCAGGAGTGAGGCTGAAGGCATGAAAAGAGACCATGGTGCACACACACATACAGACACACACATACATAAAGAAATCTCTTTTTTCTCCTCACTTTCTCTTTCTCCCCGGAGCCTTCCTCTCCTGAGCTCTGTTTGTGTACTTTTCCCGCTGCTGACATAAACAACCGCTTGAAAAAGTGCTGTAATGCAGAGAAACCCCCCCTTTTCCCTCTATCACCACCCTCTGTGCTATTTCTCCGACTCTGCCTCACACCTTCACAAAGACACAGGCATTTTCTCCCTCATCCTATGGGGCTTAACAGTTTGCAACTCAATGCAGTGTGTAGTGTGTACTTACTCGTCTGTGTCTTCCTCTCCCCCTCTGCTTTCTTTCTGTCTGGGGCTTGTTTTGAGGTAATGCAGAGTCAGTGGAGGTATTAGCTTGACGGCTAGCTTCCTTAGCAAAGCCGCTGTGCCTTGAATTCTATTATTGGGCTGTCGACTGATCAACTTTGACTTTAAAGCAGAAGAGAGGCTTCAGCTCCAATCCGACAGCGTTTACTTCCTTATTTTCATCAGCTGCTGTCTGCTTTTTTTTCTACTTCCTGCTTGTCGTCTCTTGTGTGTGTGAGATCGGCAGAGACACACAGAGGTTGGAGAGAGAAAACTCGTGTAACAAGCACAACAGAGACAGTGAAACTCCAACCCGGAGACAGGTAGAAGCATAAACATTCTCACACTTGCAAAGTTAATAAAAATAAGCATGTCATGAGCTAGCGTTACTCATTTTGAGTTTAAGTGATATATAATTGTAACGCGATATTTGTTTAACAAACCAAACCTGTGCAAAATATGTCATAGATTTAACCATTCACGGTAACAATAGGTGCGGATTTTAGCTAACGTTATCGCAGATTAGCTAACGTTAGCTTAACGACGTATTTTAAAGGATACAATTCAAAACGAATAATGCCCTTACTAAACCTGTTCATGAGCAGTTTCCTTTGAGTTATCACTGTGAAAGTGCTTTAATCTTCTCTGCTATGGAGAGAGAGAGAGAGATATATATAAAACTCACCAGAAACTAATTGGGGATAGATAACATCTTTACCTGAACTATAATTTCCACCTGCGCATTGATGAGTAGCCACATTGGAGTCATAGCTAACTCAAAACTGAGCCACTTCAATAAAATTAACGAGGTCATGGTCGTTTGAAAACACTGTAGACATTTTTTATTACTTGCTGACATCCTGTCAACAATATTTCATTCTGTGTATAAATTTTAAGCTCCCTGTCTTTCTGGCGTTCTCTTTTGGTTTTATTTTGACAAGTTTATCCACCTTTCTTTGACACAAACAAAGGCCATTCTGGTTGTTTTTCCCTCCACTCTTTGTTTATTGAATCAATTTAAAATATAGCAATAATAACAGATCACAAAACTGCAAAAAAGGAAAGTAATAACTACAAATATTTGATGATGAAAATGATAAAAAAAATAAGCTACAAAACAATTTCAGGTTATTGTATAACAGCCGTTGGGAGTCGATGTATTTGCTGGCCTGCCTCTTGTCTTGTTGTTGGCCAGTTTACTTTTTGTTGTTGTTTTATTTTATAAATTATTACAGTAAATCTGCTATTATAGATTGAACAAAGTTGGTCTGAACCAATGAAAAAAACATAAAAATAGATTTGTAAGAAAGATGGTTCCAGTAGAACATTATATAAGAAGCATGGCTAGTGGTCAGAGACCAGATGTGACTAACAATTTGCTTCTGAGGCTGAAATTTGATAAGAGTGATTTGAAACTTCTCCCAAAAGTACAAAATGTCCAGACATCCAAATTTCTCTTCTGTTTAAAAACAGTAACTTATTTCTGTGATTCAGATGTAATCATCAATGCAAACGTTGTATTAACAATAAAGGCAGTATCTGGGGGCTGTGGTTTCCTTGGGGGGTTAGGCAACATGACCAGAAACAATATATGAAAGCAGATACAAAAATAGCATTTTATTGATCAATCATCAATTAAAAATAAATTACTGTGAGTGAAAGCTACGAGATCAAACTAAGATGTATTTATTATGTGAATACAGGAAGAGCAAGCAAATTGTGAATTTTAACACTCGCGTTAATTGGGAGTTTCTAATTATACTGACTGCTTTTCCCTTCTGTTCACATCCTTAACCTCCATAAACCAGCACTGAGAGACAATAGAGCAGGATTAGAGGTCTGGAGAGAGAGAGACAGAGAGATGAGGAAAAACAAGCTGTTCTCTGTAGAGAGATCTAAAGAGGCTATTGAGCTGGGCTTCACACAAGCAGTATTTGGCAAATAGTGGTTGACTGTTACCCTGATTTGAATGGTATGCCATAAATAACCATAAACCACGTTCCAAATAAGCCTCCAGCATCCACTTGATATAGAGGATGATTCGGTATTTGCCAAATTTTTTTGAGCTGTTTTAAAGTGGATTACTCTTATATAAAGATTGTCACCAGAAGATATGTACCATAAGAATATAAACAGAAAGGAAGATGCAGTGAAAATATTTCATTTCAAAGTCAAATTTGCCTTGGCATGAGACCTGCTTATGTCATACTGATGTAACGATTCAAACTGAAACTGTGATTCCAGAGGGCATTTAATTGTAACAGATGTTTAATTCTGGTTAGGTTTGTAGTTGGAATTGAGAGCACAAACTGTTTCACCACACACATCACAGCAAGATAACATCTAAACATTGCAATTTAACCACTTTTCATGGCCAGTGTGAAGTTAAATGGTCACCTGACTTCATTTTAAAATCTTTCACTGCATTCAGCTCTGCTTAACAGCAAGAGACAGCAACATCTTGCACTCTGCATAAAACTGAAAACAATTAAAAGGCTCATTGACTTGCAATTCATTAGAATAAGCACTCAATATAAATCCAATATGTGGCTACTGATAGGAATTATTCTTTCTCTGCCCAGGGATTGTAGGGAAACAAAATGTGACAAGCAATAGGAGCTAAATTTGTTTACCCAAATTGTGTTTCTACAGCTCAGAAAAGCCTGTGCATGGAAGCTGGCAACACAAAGAACATCAAGCTCTCAGAAATGCCAGCCAAGAGTGAAGGGGGGAGCTTTGGCAGAGGAGCAGAGCAGACAGAAAACACTTACCTAATGCCTCAGATTTAACATTGTTTTATTGGCATAAGGTCAGTTGTTGGTCTCAAGATAAAATGTCCTTCAGTGCAACAGCACTGGTCTGTCAGAGGAGCAGTACTTGGAGTGAGTTAGCATCTCTCCCTCTCTCTCCCCATTTATCTGTTGATATTTTATTCTGTCTCTCAGCTCCTAATTTGCCCTCTGGATCATTCTCTGGATGCTCTTGACTTTTCCACCACTCGCTCACTTGTCAGCTTGCAACATAAAACAAAATCAATATGCTGTTTTGTGAGGTTTTTTGTGGATTCCTGAAGCCCGTCCCATGAAGCAGGATAGCTAAACTTTGCTGAATAAAACCTTTAATACCACCAACCTGATCTGAAACATGGACAGAAGTAAAGAGAGATTAATTCGGGTTTGCAGTTATCTGGCTAAATTAGTAATGCTGCACATGCTCAATAATATTTGCTTTCCGTGTGTGTGTGTTTGTTTGTAGGGCAAGTAAGGGGAAGGACAGCTGTCAAGATTGATCAGAGGCAGTAAAGAGTGAGATGCAGGTGAGGGAAGTAGAATTAGAAAAAACTCAGTTTGTGCAAGGAGAGCACATATGAAGGACACAGATGAAGAGCTCCATTGTTCTAAAAGTCTTCTCTAAAAACATCAACTTCAATTTGCAAAGGAAAATTATGTTATCATTATCATTATTATTGTTTTAATTACTTAAAGTAGCCTAATTGCACTGTTTCTTATGCCAGTCAAGAAACACTTAATCAGTTTACAGACTGCATTAGCTAAAACAGTCCTGCAAGTCTTACCTTCAAGAAGTTTATAATGATATGTTTTTGTTCAAACTGTTTTAGAGAAGTCACAGTTCAAAATAATGATAATTTTGGAGTTTGTGGTGCTGTTGCTTTGTATTGCATTATACTTGCATTAGACCGCCAGTATTTAGTCTACCCTCACTGATATAAATGGGGTGTCAAATAACCTAAGTAGATAAATTAAAGGATTCAAGTTAACGCCTTTCAAATAAGGTATGGCCTTTGTCCAGTAATTACAGTTGATAATGATAATGTAGCTTTGTATAAATATAAATGTAGTTTTTCGTCTTACATGTCAGTACAACAATTCATTCTTGCCCCTGAGATGTTTTTCCCATCATTAAGTCAAATTATTTAATCTTTCTTTCTTTTTGTTGTTCCATCTATTCTGAACCCGTAATGTCTGTCTTACAACTAAGGTCATCCATTTCTAAAATGCTACACTGCACCCTCAGTTTCACATTTCTTTTTTTCTTTTTTTTTTTTTAACTGGACTCTGTATCATAGGTACGTCCAGAATGCATTGTCATATGTATGACGCAAAGCACCAACTCGTTGCGGTCTACAGCTAAAGGGATATCTGGACTAAGCTCTCTTTCTGTGCCTCGCCTTCTTCTTCTTCTTCTTCCCCTCTGTCTCTCGCCCTCTTGTCTCTCTCTCTCATCGAGTAGGAGAAAAGCTCCCTCAAGAAAGCAGACGTACTGAAGTCAGAGAGAGAGGGTGGGGGCGACAAGAATACCCCTTCCCTCAGTATGGGTGTGTCATTCTCAGTGTAGGTTTGAAAAATGTAAAGTGTGTGTGCGGTTTCACACTTCAACCATTTGTAAACCTTTTTTTTTTCTTAATTAATGGAATTTTTGCTGGTTCTTGCTTCTCCAAGCGGCTACAGTTGGGATTGTGGGTCCGGGGTTACGATGTTAATGTAGTCAAAGTCCCTCATAAGGATGAAACAGGGTCAGTGTGCGTGTTTGTGCATTCATTACCAAAATTCTGACATTAGGAGCAATATCGCCCTTCACAGATAATGGTGCCACATTAGTCACAATCTTCTCTTAACCTCTCTAAGGCTATTAAGAGTTACAAAATCTCTTTATGGCCATGCCTCCATTCCCTAGAAACACAGAATCAATACCTAGCTTCGAGGCTACAGCCTTCCATCAATACGTCATTTAATCAATAAGCCCATGAGAGAATTGCCTCACATCTGTTTTTATAAGCCCAGATTCTACCTCAGACTGGATTGCTAGAATGAGTAGTTAGAGTAAATATGCGGGTTATATGAACCAGACTAATGACTTATGACATTTACACTTTCTTAACTGTGATCAAAAATGCATCAGTGGTGATTTTTTTTGCGCTTAGATGACACAGAAAAAGAAAAACCAATGAGGAACAACATGCATTTTTCAATTTTTTAGGTAAACTATTAAAACTTTTTTTCTACTGCCTTTTTTCTGCAGTGTCTCTTGAAAAACAATATATCTCACATGCACTTAAGTACTTTTCATTTCTCAGTGAATTGAAACTTTTAGCTATTTGGCTTTTCTTTGGCACTGAAGCGTGCCATCAGATGGACAGACAGACACGAAGTGGGACCCGAACACACAAAGCAGATGAACCAGTAAAGCACCATCGCTGCCTTGGCATATATTCCCTCTCCTACCCTTGTTTGATCCAAACACTGCTCTTATCAGCCTCTTACACACACTCTGTGA